GCACTGGTGGGTCATTTGGCAATTTATTTTCTGCTTGGTACATTTTCCCCGATTTTGCATTACAATTCCAATTACAATTGCATACTTTTCGAAACAAGAACCTTCTTAAAATACAAATTAATTATATCGGAATGAATGAAATATTTTTCTCAAAACTATTTGTGATACCACATCATGGCACATTCAAAAATAAGAAAATTTCCTCCAAACACCCATCCTTGATCCAAAAAAAATTAGTAGATATCTACAAATGTACATTTATGTAGATGATACAAATGTACATTTAAAATTATAGAATTCTAGTTTCAACAATCAACCTAGCAAAACTGACAACAAAATTTCAGCTTGCTCCATTTTTACCTAATTTTGGTATATTTAAAGGACAATTATGGTACAAACGAAAAATGACATACGGAAACGTTAGTGTATTGTGCCAAAGCAGGATGAATAGTGCCAAAAGTGCCTCTGAGAATGAAAGTGCCAAAAACGGCACTTTGTTATCACTGGCATGAAGTGTTTAAAATTCCAAAAAATTTTAAAGTAAAAATACATTTTATACTAATAATAAACATTAAGTGCTCATATTTACTCAACTTTAAACATTTTATGGGTAAATTTGCTCTTTGCGACAAATTTAGTATGTAAAAGTAAACAGGCAGTGTTTAATTTTGCACACATTAGGAGAAGAAACTGGTTGACTCTCTTTATATACGTAAATTTAAACAAAAATTTGTTAGAGGAAATTTTGAAAATTTTATGTATAAACTGTGAAATTGTGAACGGTAAGTATTTGAAATTCAACAATCAAATTTGAAGTTTGTTCTACGCCACACATATGATAAGCAAAACTAATCAAGCAGTGTTTAATTTCATTAACACGGTGTGTAAATTTGCATCCATTAAGAGAGGAAACTGGTTATCTATTTTAATATGCGCAAATTAAAATTTTTTTTTTAGAGTGTACATACGTATCTGTTGAATTATGTGATATTCCATCGGATGATTTTCGGTACACGAATTCGTTGGGTTACGACCGGAGAGGTTAAATGAATCTTGTCACGGTGGGTTAGGTCGGCGGGACCCGTATATAAGCTAACGAAACAGTGACGTGGGTGGGTTCTTTGACCCATTCACCAGATATCACCTCATATTACCGTATTACAGAGTCCCTAAAGTCCCTATTAATAGCATAAAAATTTGTTGTTTAACAATTAATTGAACGGAACCAAAAACAGCAGAAGATCCTGACCTAATACAGCCAAACAACCGCACCGAAAGGTCAAGGAGCATAAGAAAATTAAAAAGGGGGTATCTTACTTTACCTTACGAGCACAAAAGATGTTGGGTTGCTTACTCGTCTAAACCCTCCCAACCTGGTCTTCACATGTATGACCTTTTGAAGACCCCTATTACTAATTACGTTACCCTAACAACACATCTCACCAAGGAAACTAGATAATTTAGCTTTAATAATTCATAATAGATATTTTATACTATAATTTCATATGATATATAATAACAATTTCATGATAAACAATTTTTAATGACCGTTTCCCAAAATATAGTAGGTAGAGTCGTTGAAAGTAATAATTGTTTATAGATCTTAATAGCATTTAAGACGAAAATTTAATTAATTAAGTAACACAAATTTTACCATATTAGTTCCAAGTCTTATGTTCTAAAAAAATTTAACAAATTCAAATAGGTAATTACTTATTACAACTTATAGCAACTACGTTTACCCTGTAAATAATCGTAAATATTTTACTAAGCATATATTATATATTGAGGAGGATTCCTGTGTTCATATTGGTTTGTTTTTGTGGTAATACCTTTACTATACCTAACTTGCAAAATTGAGTCAAATGGTTATTGTTATTATGTTTGTCTTTAAGGATTATATATGTATTTCAAAAGTAATTCAAATTGGTTTAGTTAGCACAGAAAAAAACAAAATTTTCAGCAGCGTAACGGTGCCGAAAACTCTTCGAGCAAAAATGAAAGCGCGATGAATGAAAAAGAGATCGAAAAAAAA